TATGTTTGTAGCTCGAGGGAGAAAAAGGCGCAATGCTCAAGAAATTACAAACTTACATCACTATCGCGCTGAGTTATTCTACACTGTTTTGGATATGCAAATTCAAGAACTAAATGCTTGTTTCACTGAGTCGAACACTGAGTTGTTACTTTGTGTGACATGTTTGAATCCGTTTAACTCTTTCTCTAGTTTTGACAAGAAAAAGTTAATTCATCTCATCGAATTTTATCCCCAAGAACTTTCTTTAGTGGAGCTCTTGGTAGTTAATGATCAACTTAATACATATATTATCGACATGCTATCCAGTAGTGAGTCATCAAGGTTGAATGGAATTGCCAATCTTGCTAAGAAAATGGTGGAGACTGGAAGAGATAAAATATATCCATTGGTGTATTTGCTCTTGACTTTAGTATTAATCTTGCCTGTAGCAACTGCTACTGTTGAGAGGGTATTTTTAGCTATGAATATTGTGAAGAATCGGTTGTGGAACCGAATGGGTGATGAATGGATAAATGATAACTTGGTTGTCTACATTGAGAGGGAGATTTTTGATGTCATTGACAATGATACTATCATGAAAAGATTTCAAAAGATGAAAACTCGTTGGGGTTAATTGTAAAAGTTTAGATTAGAAGGCATCAAGAAGAAAAATTTCAAAGTTATAATTAATAGGCGACCTCTCTGAATTAATGAACATTTCAAAGTTTTTATACTTTTTGTTTCACGTTTACAAAAAATAAAAAACTAACAATGTTATCCAACACTAATCTAAAAGTGTTGCCATAAATACTATATTATATAAGAGTGATCTATTCGGTAGTATGGATCCTTGCAAAGAAGAAACGATAACACTAAGGATATTTTTAATATTTTACAGTTCTACCGCATTACTTCAATACTATATATTTATAATTGAAGTGTTATATTTTTCTGTCTTATATTATAACTCATAACCTTATTTTGAGAGTAACAAAATAAATATTTATATTCTACTTATATTTGTATTTTATGTTTTGCTTATCGTAATTACGTGTATCAATTCTTAATATGGACTATGTATTTACATCATGGCTTGTATTGACCTGTCACTATCAATTAACCTCTTGTACAAATTTTAATCATAGTTTAAGAAAAATACTTTTTAAGAAAGTATTTTTTTTAAAATATCTTCCGTCAAAGTGTTAATGGTGTGCTTATGATGCCAATTATACCCATTGTACAATAGTGGACTATTCGACATTCGTACTCCATGGTTTATAAGATTTCAAGTTTTGGGTCATTGATTAAGAAAAATCAACCTAAGGAACAAATTTAAGGAAATTTAAAGATGAAAAAGAAAGGATCAATAGTACCATTTAGAAAACTCCAATTTTTGTACTATTTCTGTATATATTTTATTTTATTTTATATCAATACTAACAACAAATATAGAACTAAACTATTAAACAAGTCAAATTGTAAATTATTTAAATTTAATTTAAAATTTTAATAAATTTTAAAATGTGTTGATTTGAAAGAAGATATGCCTCTCATATTAATTGGCTGAAATAAGATTTTATTGTGAATTAAAACCTTAAAACAAGCAAAAAAAAAAAAAAAAAAAAATCATATATATGTACTTTAAAATAAAGCATATATTATACATTTAACTTTATTGTAAAATATGTCGTATTTCTAATAAGGGAGATTCATTATAAAATCTTTTTTCAAATACTTGTATCTCAATTAGTTAATAACATAATTTTGTATGAATATTATTATTAGGGATATTTTGGTATCTATGTTATCCATAGGACTTATTGGAATATAAGAAAATAATTTAAACAAATAAGTGAGGAGAAATTTATGAATAAATGCCCCTTCTAATAAATTTAATCCATATATTTTGAATAACTAAATTTATCAATAAGGATAACCCAATGGTTAAGCAAGTGATTTTTTGATTAACTTAACAAAAATCAAACATTTTGATTTCAACTCTCCTATAATTTCCAAATACTTATAAATATCCAAAATTTATTTTACAGAAATTTGGCTAGAAAATTTTAACTTGAAAATGTTTCATAATAAAAAGAAGAAAAGAAAAAAAACGAGTCTACTTACAAAAGTTGTGTTTAACTTTAGACTATTTTAATGAGGAATGACGGTAGATACTCGATGATTATGTTTGTCTTGGAGGATTAGATCAAAAGATTGGATTATGTATTCTGATTAACTTCAAATCTCATGTTTAAATAGAAATGTGAACTTATAGATTAACAGTCTTTGCGGAATATATTGGAGACTATTGAGAGGATTAAAAGGAATCTAGATTAAGAGATTATAAAAAAAAAAAAAAAAAAAAATTTTCAAATAATGATCATTACGCTATGTAATTTTTGTTTTTTTATTCTAAATAAATATGAAATATGACAGGATTTTACTAATCTGTCATTTTAATAGAAATATTGATATATAAACCTAAGTGATTGATTATTGTAAAAAAGCTTTAAGGATTTTGTTTGTTTCAAGTAATATATCTCACAATTCAGGGACGGGCAAAGTTCAAAATATATCTCCTCATTAGTTTCGGATTCATTTTTTTTCTTCATTTATAAGTTAACTTATTTTTTCAATTAAACTTTAAATGATTTTTTTTTCTTTTTCAATTTTGAGTATGTTTTAATTTTTATTTTTTAGATCTGTTTATATTAGACCATATTAAAAAAATGAGAAATTATATAAAAAAGTCCACGATTTGACCCTTATAATAAAATAATTTTTTTTAATTTCATCAATTTAAATCTCAATATTTTGATTTATTTTTAATTTAAACCATTCATATATTTTTGTCAAGTAAAATCGACGAAAAAAGGATATTTAACCTATTAAACTCAATATAAGTGTATATAAAATATTTAAAATATCATTTTTGTTAAATTTAATGATTTAAATACTCTTTTTTTATCAATGAAATAAATTATTTAAATTAAAAAATTAGGATTTAATTTGACAAAATAAAAATTCAAAATTATTTTGTGACAAGGGTTAAACTCTAGATTTTTTATTTTTTATTTTTTGTAATTTCCTTTTAAAAAAATAGGAAAAATTATTAAAAGAAAAAATAAGTCAAATTTTATGTTTCTAAAATCTGGGGAAAAAAAAAGTATGTTTATTCTTGTTTTACAGATTTTTTTTAAAATTTGTAACATTTAATTTAGACCGACCCACCATCTGTTTGTTAAAATGTTTATATGTAGAGGTCAGTATTTTGGGTTATTTTGAGTTGCTTTCATAGAATTTCGGGAGCTTTGTATGTGTGGTTGGGTGTTTTATTGGGTTGTGCTGCATATAATTGTTCTTATGTTTAAAAAACAATAAAGTTATGATAGACTGGTCTGTGTAACTACTCTTTTGTCTCATTGGGCTTGTGTCAAATTAGCAACTGTGGAATTCTAAGTTTTCGTAATTGACTCCCAAGTACGACTGAAAGGTAGTAATTCTTGAATCTTCATTTATAAATTGACTAAATAATGGGAAAAAACAGATACAATTCATGAAATTAGCAAACTTTAGACCATCAATGGAAGGCCTCAAAATACCCTTATTGTTTTCCTCTTTATTTTCCATTTTAATAATCTCCAACGCAGTAGACACCATAACCAAAACACAATCCAAAACAGGCAACAATACCATTGTTTCATCTGGTGGGAGCTTTGAGATGGGTTTTTTCAGACCTGGCAATTCCCGGAATCAATACCTGGGAATATGGTACAAGAAAATATCTCTCAAGAGCAGGACTGTTGTATGGGTTGCCAACAGAGAAATCCCACTCATCAATTCGTCAGGTGTCTTAACGATAATCAACCCTGGAATTCTCGCCCTCGTCAATGGTACTGGCACTGTCATTTGGTCTGTCAATGTGACAGAATCCACACAGAACCCTATTGCGCAACTTATGGACACGGGAAATCTAGTTGTGAAAGATGCCAATGATGAGTCCGAGAATTTTCTGTGGCAAAGTTTTGATTATCCATGTGATACTCAATTACCGGGCATGAAGCTTGGAAAGAACTTTGAAACAGGCCTAGAGCGCCACATCACCCCGTGGAGGAGCAGTGATGATCCAGCTCAAGGTGATTATAAATACCAGCGTGATCCTCAAGGATACCCACAAAATATTCTGAGCTATGGTTCTGTTGAGCTGTTCCGAACTGGGCCATGGAATGGTATCGGATTCAGTGGGACACCAAACGTCAAACCTAATCCGTACTACACATATGGATTGGTTTTCTCTAATAGTGTGTTTGGAGGATTTGAGAATGGATTTAGAAAGAGAAAGGGAAAAGTTAGGTGAAATATGAATAAAATAAACTTATATTTCATTTACTTTCGCACACCTTTTTCTTTTTCCTTTCCAAATTTCTCCCCAAATCTCTCAACCAAACACAGCATAAGGAGGAGGCGTATTATCATTATGCACTCCTCAGCCCAGTTCTTTCAAGGTATGATGTGAGTTATGATGGACATGTGCGGCGCTGGATATGGGTTGATGAAAAGAAGGCAAGATGGGAGATTTACCTGATTTTCCCAACAGAGTACTGTGATACTTATAATCTGTGTGGTCCAAATGGTAACTGTCAGATTGGAAACTCACCGGCATGTGGTTGTTTGAATAACTTTGTGCCCAGGAACGAAACGGAATGGAGAAATGGATATTATTCTAATGGGTGTGTTCGGAGGACGCCGCTGGATTGCCGTAACGGAGATGATTTTCTCATGTATTCGCGATATAAAATGCCAGACACACGGAACTCCTGGTTTGATACGAACATGACCCTAGGGGAATGCAAGATGAGGTGCTTGAAAATTTGTTCTTGTACGGCTTACACAAATTTAGACATAAGAGGAGATGGAAGCGGCTGTTTGCTTTGGTTTAATGAGTTGATTGATATGAGAGAGTTTAGTGAAGATGGGCCAGACATTTACCTAAGGATGGCTTCTTCTGGGTTGGGCAAGAATTTATACCAAAGTCATAGACTAGTGAAAATAGATTAATTAGATTATACGTATGAAAGAAGCATGTCGTTAACTATACTGAACATTTACATTTCTTAAAAAATTCCTCACTATATTACATTCCTACATCTAACTACAATTTAGAAAAAAAAAAAAAAAGAGTTCATTTTGGTGTCATCTTGAACGTTGTTTTCTTGAATTCGATCCGGATGATGCATATTTCCCGTCTCGATCCACATGCCCGGCGTGGTAAGTCCAGCTTGTATTTGTATTTGAGTCTATTTTGATTTTGACCTAATTTTGTTATTTTCAGATCTTCTATACGCTGGGTTATTGTAGAGTTATAAGGTTGTGATGTTCTTGTGGGCTTCTATAAAAGACAGGGAGCCGACTTATTGTGATCACTATACTCCTATTGAAAAAAAGGGGCTGTCTTTGGATGGGAGTGGGCATGGCAGCCCCCATTTTTTAAAATAAAATTATATATGTATACTTTATTCCCCCCTCCCAAAAAAAAAAAAAAAAAAAATTCTCAAAGTGGTGCCTACTTTAAGTTTTGTTTAGATAAAGGATTTGACGGAGATTTGTGAAGGGAAACAAAAGAGAAGGGATGAGTGAAAAAAAAAAAAAAAACTCAACTTATATTTCATTAAATTTTTCTTTTCAATTTACAAAAGTTTATCAAATTCTTGATCAAAACACAGTCTTAGTCTTTTACTTTAAAAAAAATGCATTCGTTTAAAAAAATTACGAATGGCAAATTTCTTTGTCAATATAAGAATAGCAATAAAAAAGGCCCAATGAGCTGCCATCTTCATCTTTACCAACACCTTTACTATTTAGTTTTTGCATTACAAAACTCTCTTTTTTTCAACATAAGTATTAAATCTCAAAATAAATTGTCAAAATCTTATCATCATCAAACAATTGTCGTTGGTATGTTTTTCTATTATATTTTTATCTTTATGTCTATCTTATATAAAATTATAGAAAGATATGCTTATAGAAATTTCAAAATTATCAATTATAAAATTCTACCTTAACTTGACTATTACAAAAAAAAATTAAGTGAATTAGCCATATTATCAAGTGCAAAGAATAGACTAATAAAATTTGAATGCAAGATAATAATTGTTAGTTATTTTGCATCCGAAAAAAAGAGAATAAACTTTAAATAAAAAATTACAATAATGTTGAAACTTGTTAAAAGCCTCATTTAAAATTGTCTCTTTGGACCTCCAATTGCCTCGAGCCATTATGATTGGTGAAAATACTTTCTTCTAGTTCGACCCCCCTCAAATCCAAATCTTTGCTCCTCCTCTGTAAGCTTGTAAATTCTTGTGTGCATGTGTGTTTGTTTTGTTTTACCTTTTCTCATCCTTTTTGCCATAACAATTTCAATATAAAGGAGGGTGTTCAAGGGTTTGAAATCTAAAGAAATCCATGCAAGTTCGTGCTTTCATGATTGTACTGTCTAACTGATCAATTGACCATTTCTGTCAAATGGATTGAGGATTCAACAGTCCGACAAGTCGGCTTCAATGGCAAGAAAAGAGACATAGTGGTAGTGACCTCGGCATTGTTAATTGGATTTCCTCTGCTGGGTATAAGCTTGATCATGTATCTCCGAAAAATGAAAAGGAAGAATTCATAGCTGAATAGAGAAGGTATATATCCATATGTGTCATTCTATGTTAAACTATGTACTGGTATGTTACATTTTTGGAACTACTTGTCATATTGATATCCATTTTGTCCCGGCTTTACAGGAATTCGAATGCACAACTCTGAACAAGGTTACACCGACAAAAGCCAAAAGGAAGATCTAAAGTTACCATTGTTCGACTTAGCTGTAATAGCTAATTCCACAAATAACTTTTCAATCAACAATAAGATTGGAGAGGGTGGATTCGGAGCTGTTTACAAGGTAACAATGTAAAGACACTCTCATGTAGTCTATAGGAATGTGATCGATGCCCAATCTCATGGAGCCTATGCAAAAGCCATAAAACCATTCAGCTTTTTTATCACTGCTTTTCCGTAATAATAATATTATTAAAAAAAAATCACCCCCCCCTCCAAAAAAAAAAAAAAAGAATCACAAAAAAGTACATAGAATGTAAAATTTCTTGGTAAGTTAATGCACTTACTGTTCTGTAAAACCTTTTAATACAGAACCACCATTCTGAGTGTAAATTTTTTATAAATACACCTGTTTTTGAAAAGAGGAATTTTATATTTTTCTTTCAGTTTTCAAAGAAGACAATTGGTATGATGCTACTTTTCTCACATATAAAACATTATAAATCTCTGTAATTAAATCACTGGTCATGGTTGCACCTATTGGAACAATGTCAGCCAGAGCAACATAAAAATAAGAATCAGGAAAAATGAGTGTTTTCTTTTAAGTTAATTCTAATAGAAGAGCATTCTATCAATTATAATGGTAATTCTCAGGGTATACAAGAAGGAGGACAAGAAATAGCCGTGAAGCGGTTATCAAAGAATTCTAGCCAACGACTTGATGAGTTCAAGAATGAAGTTATTTGTATTAACAAACTGCAACACCGAAATCTCGTGAAGCTTCTAGGATGCTACATTCAAGGAGAAGAAACAATGTTGATATATGAATACATGCCTAACAAAAGCTTGGACTATTTTATATTTGGTTTGCTCTCTTCAAAACTATAATACACCACAACGATTCCACTCTCAAACCAGCCAACAGTCTTTCTTTTTCTTTTTTCTTTTTTTATTTATTCTTTTTGGTTCCATATAATCCTTTTGATATATTTGATAATGGGAACAAAACTTTATGTGGTTTTTATTACATGTGCATTTGCATGAACTTGGTTTTTCAAAATTTAGAATTTTTCATTGTAAAAGCCTATTAAATTCGTGCATCCGGTTAGCGAGAGTATGGGCTAAATCTAACAAAAATTTGGACAGATTAGACAGGAAGCACATTGTTGGACTAGCCGAAGCGCTTCCACAATATTAATGGGATTGCATGGGGGCTTCTTTATCTTCATCAAGATTCCAGATTGAGAATTATTCACAGAGATCTTAAAGCTAGCAATATTTTGCTAGATATTGACATGAACCCAAAAATATCAGATTTTGGAATAGCTAGAAGTTTTGGAGGAAATGAGACAGAAGCAAATACAAATACAGTGGTTGGAACATAGTAAGATTCTCCATAACATGTTTAATCTATTTCACTTATATTATTGTTTCAAAATCTGGTTCTTTACTCTTCTTTGTTGTAGCGGCTATATTTCTCCAGAGTATGCAACAGATGGGCTATTTTCAGTAAAATCGGATGTATTCAGCTTTGGCGTTTTGGTGCTAGAGATTGTGAGTAGCAAGAAAAACAAAGGTTTCTATCATTCAAGTCACCGCTTCAACCTCCTTGGCCATGTAAGTGTTCTAAGATTAGAGGTAATTAATATTATATGCATGTGTTCCTATAAGGGTCAAGGATCCTTTATCCCTAAATTCTCTCTATCTAAAAAGAACAGCACCTAATTAGTACACATTAATATGTATCTAGAAGGGGAAAGATTGGGTATACATCTAACCTTTGACATAGTGCACAAAGTGATTGTCCCATGACTTGAACCTATAACCTCTAGGTTATTAGACCAATATTTTACCATTGAACCAATAGTCACTCCTCCTTAAATTCTCTCTATCTATTGTTCCAAAACACGCACAATCGTTGGATCACATGAGAATCTTAAGGTGCAAGTATCTTGGGGCATAATCTAACTATTGTAACTGTTTTGAGAATTGAGAATAGAGAAATTTGGAGATAGAGGACCTATGTCTAATATTGTAGTGGATTGTTCAGGCATGGAATCTCTATAAAGAGGGCAAGTCGTTGCAATTGATTGATGATGTTGTATGGGAGTCATGCTACCTAATTGAAGTGTTGCGATCAATCCATGTGGGTCTTTTGTGTGTGCAAGAAAGTCCAGAGGATAGGCCTAGCATGTCATCTGTGGTTGTGATGTTGTGCAGTGAAGGTGCATTGCCTCAAGCCAAACAACCTGGCTTCTTCACTGAAAGGAATGTTCTCAAGACTGGTTTCCAAGAAGCAACAACCACGGCCAATGAAATCACTGTTACTATGTTTAATGGTCTATAGAAATTATACCATATACAAGGTGAATGCTTAATCATTGTTTCTAGTTACAAGTGTATTTTATACATAATGACATGATGGGACGTGCCAATGGTATCTCTATTCACTAGTATTCTCATTATTATCGTTAAAAATGAACTCCACCGAAATAACATCTACTTTTTTCAATATATAAATTTGCCCCATCAATCAGTATAAATTTTCTTTATAATTTTCATGTTTGCATATCATTATTTCTTTGTGTTCTGTAAATAAATAAATAAATTAAATTAAATTAAAAAAAAAAACAAGTTTAGATACTTTCATCCATGTTCTTTAATTATTCCATTATTTTTGTAAACTCTGGGGCAGTGCTTACTTTAGATGCCGCCCATTACGTGTCTTTCAAAGCTTTTTCCTTTGAATTGCTCTCTAAAGTTTGTATACAAATGATGCCAAGCACAAAACCTATGTTCAACATTTGGCACTACTTGTTGTAATTGAGAGGTACCAGGCCTTTCTGCTTGCCTGTAATGTAAGTCCAAACACTTTGGTTGACTTTTCCAATATCATCAATGATTAAACTAAGATACCCAAAACTATCATCAATGAACCTTTGTTTTACTAAGAATCCCAGATTCATGAATCTTTGTTTTTACCTCCACCACAACATATGCAAATGGGAACATGTTATTATTAGGGTGAATACCCACCATGAGGAAAGGATTTATTAAGGGACTGGGGATAGATTTATAAAGAAAATGATTTATAAATAAAAAATTCATACATAAATAATATTTAGATTGATCTCTTAAAGTCTTTTTTAAAATTATGAAAATAATGGTTGCTTTGATTGAAAATGATGAAACCACAAGTTACATTATTATGTGTAAACATTCTGTGAAGATTTTTTTTTTTTTTTAATCAGTAAAGAAAAGGGAAACTTTATTGATGGGATGAGAAAAACAAGAACAAAATACATTAATAAAGGAGGGAAGTGTAAAAAACATCATAGCTAACACTCCACAATCTCAACTAGGTTGGCACCAATGAGGAAGCACAATCATCTGCTAGCACTAAACCCACAAATTGGCGAGAAACCAATCCAAAAAGAAGAAACAAACCAAACACAGAAATAAAACCAACCAACCATACAGCAAAAACAACCTTGACTCCTCCCCCAGCAAACTGCTCTAGCAACTTATAGCTAATAAACCAGCGAATTCCTGCAAAAACAAACTAGATTTACTGCCAACTGCCCCCTCTATCAGATGAGCAACACAAAAAATACCCCTTCCATGTCCTTCCAGCCAAAACACCAACAGCTGCCCAGAATTACACTAGTGACAAAAAACATCATAGCTTATACTAGCAACATCATAGTACCAACATCTCAGCATCAACAACATCACAGCAGCATCTCAACATCACAGTACCAACATCACAACAGCGACTCAACAATAACACAGTACCAACAAAAAATTCTATAAGACACCTAATAACCTTAGTACCCACCAGCAAAACCACATCAACCTTATGCACATACCTGTTGCCAATGAGATCTTTCTAAGCCAATTAAACCAACTCCAGCAGTAGCAATACACAGAGAACCCAACTAACTACAGCAGTTTTTTGATCAGCAAACCTTTACACAGCTAGAACCTCACTACAACCTAATCTGGTGGAGATTGGATACAATGTCTTGAGTTGAATAATCCACCTTCAAGTGCCATTTGGCCCATAAAGCAATCTGCACCTTGACTTTTTCACAAAATTGTTGGAGGTCAGGATGAGCACCCTTAAACAAACATTCGTTCCTCAATTTCTAGACTGACCATAAGACAGCATAGGGAATAATCTACCAGACTTTGAGTGCCCAAGACTTGAATTTGAACATACCACCATTCCACTAATGTAGTAAGCCTTCCACAGAACCTGGAATAGCCCAAACCTGATCCCACCAATCTACTATGTAAGACCAGCACTCCCACACCAGAGGACAAATCAGAAGCACATGAGCAATAGTTTCTACCTCAGCTTGGCAGAAAACACATAGATTATTAGCACTCACATCAAGACCCCAACTCTTTGAAGGAAGGTTAAGGTTTTAACCCTACCTCGCCAAGCCAACCAACAAAAAAAATTGCATTTTTGGAGGGGCAAAACTCACCCACATCCCTATTGGGACTGTCAAACCAGGCCCACTAGCTACAGCCCACCACCTCCACACAAAAGCTACTGTGAACTGCCTTGATCTCTCTGCTAACCAAGAGCAAGAGTCCTCAACACCAAATCTGAGACAAGGAGATAAGTCCAACATGCCTAACAGCCTCTGCAAATCCTCTTCTTCCCAAGCTAATAGATTCCTTCTAAATTGAAGCTGCCATCCTTCTGAGGCACCAATCTTTACTCTGATCTACTACAGAAAATCCTCATTCCCTGTGGATAAACTGAACAATCTAGGAAATTCAGCCTTCAAACCTCTGTTATCGAGCCAGGAATCGTACCAGAACTTTATTCTCCTCCCATTGCCAACTATGATTTTGACTTAGTCTCCAAAAAATTCACCCAGTTGTTGATTAGCCACAAATAGCTGCGAAATATCCCTCCAAACTATTGAGACCCCTACTAACTGATTCATTGTAGGTGTCCATCCCCTACCAATTCTGCCATACCTAGAACAGAGCACAGATTTCCACAGAGCTTTATCATCACTGCCATACCTCCACCACTACTTCAGCAGCAAGCATTCATTTACCTTACCTAGGTCCCTCACTCCCAAACCTCCTTGATTCTTGCTGTTTGTGACCTCCTTCCATTTGACTATGTGCACTTTCCTGTTGGTAGCAGAACCTCCCCACAACAAATTGGCCTGAAGTTTTGATATAGACTTGACAACCCCCTTTGGTATTTTAAAGATGGAAAGAAAATAGATTGGCAAATTGGACAGGGCTAATTTGATCAAAGTCAATTTACCAGCAAAAGACAACAATATCCTCTTCCAAGAAGAGAGCTTCTTCTGAAACTTATCCACTACTGGAGACCATGTGCTCTTTCTTCTGGGATTGGCCACTAAAAGCAAGCCTAAAAAATTTAAAGGTAATTTCTTAGGTAGACAATTCAATACCTTAGCAAATTCCTTAGTTTGGTCTTCTTGATAGCCCACCCCACATACCACACTTTTGTGAAAATTTATCCTTGAACCAAATATCACCTCAAAGCACCTCAATACCCTCTTAATGTTCAAAACTTTCTCCATGCTACCTTCACAAAAAATGATAGTATCATCTGCAAATTGAAGATGTGAAATACCCAACTAATCAAAGCCAACTGAAGCACCCTTAATCAGGCCCTTCTCTATTGCCCTTTCCAACAAGAGATTAAGACCTTCAGCTGCAACAATGAACAAAAATGGAGATAAATGATCACCTTGCCTTAACCCTTTCTGTGGTTGAAACTCCTCAATGGGTGCACCATTGACTAATATAGACACCATAGTTGTTATAATGCAAGTCTTCATCCTCCTAATCCACCTTGCACCAAAACCAAAATTACCCAACATTGGTAGCAAAAATTCCCAATTTAATGAGTCATAGGCCTTTTCAATATCCAATTTCAGCATGATGCCTTTCTTCTTAGCTCAGTGTCACCCATCTACCACTTCATTAGCTATCAACACACCATCTAGGATGTGCCTACCACTGACAAATGCTGACTACACCTCACTAATCACAGCTCGAAGCACCTGCTTCATTCTTTTGGACAACACCTTGGCCAAGATCTTATAAATGTAGCTGACCAAACTAATTGGCCTATAGTCTCCCAATCCTGAAGGATTATCCTTCTTCGGGATAAGCACAATGAAGGAACTATTAACCCCACTTGATAGTTTAGCATTTGTGTGAAATTCATGAATCATTTGAATTATCTCACTTTTCATAACATGCCAACACTTTTGGATGCATGCAAGATTAAAGCCATCTGATCCGGGGGCCTTGTTCCCATCACAAGCTTTAAGAGCTGCCCAAATCTCATCTTCAGAGAACACTGCTTCCAAATTGGCTGCTGCCTCTGAGCTAATAACATTAAAAGGACATGAAATCTTTGGCCTCATAGTCCAATTCTCCGAGAATTGCTGCCTAAAATGCCTAACAAAGCTTGTTTAATCTGAGTACAGTCCTCAAAGCACACCCCCTCCACATAGACTGAATCTAACATGTTCTTTCTCTGTCTCCTGCTAGCCATAATGTGGAAAAACCTAGTGTTTTTATCACCATTTCGAGCCCAAAGCATTTTGGACTTTTGATGCCACAACCTCTCTTTATCTCAACTTAATTTCCACACCAGACTTCTAACTTCTCTTCTTCTTCTAATATCCTTATCAGCCAGAGACCTAGATTCTACCTTTAGATCCCAAACATGTAACTCCTCTTCAACTGACTTTAAAAAAGAATCAATATTACTGAACACCTCCTTGTTCTACACCCTTAAATGAGATCTTAGTTCTTTCAGTTTCCTCATAAATCTATACCTTGCCCATCATGACACATGAATGTTCTCCCAGAGTTATTTAACTCCAGGCATAAAGATAGGGTGTGAAAGCCAAGGATTTAAGAACTTGAAGGGTTTGGGGCCCCAATCCCTTTCATCCTCCTTCAACAGAATTGGGTAGTGATATGATATGGTTCTAGGTAAACCCCATTGCTTGAAAGAGAACTGTTCTAGCCATCTAGAATCCAACGGGAATCTATCTATCCTATTCCATCTTTTCCCATCCAATGCATTACACTAGGTAAACTGTCTACCTAGCATAGGCAGATTTGTCAATTCCAATTTGTCAATAAGCTCATTAAAGTCCTTCATCACCCTCTCTCTTCTTGAACACCCTTTCCTCTCACTCATAAATCTAATTTCATTGAAATCTCCCCCCCCCCAACACACCAAGGATTTGGATAATGAGGGTATACATTTACCAGAACCTCACATAGCTGTCTCCTACATACAATCTCATTTGGGGCATAAATATTGACAATGACACACTCAAAAGAATAGCAAGATGTACCTGATAGGAGAATAAAGTTCTTATTACAACAACAGTCTCTAAGCTTAAAGACATTTGGCCTCCAGATGTACAAAAGTCCACCTGCACTACCATCTGAGTCCACCCC